TAGTACACTGCTAAAATAACACCAATAATAGATTTATTTGTTCTATTTTCTAAAATCTGGGTGTCGAACGTAATCGGATACCTTAAAACGACAAGTACAATAATCAAAAATCATTGCTGTCGCCATAAGTCTAGTATGATTTAATAAACAGCTCTATTATTTATGATCAGTGGATTATATTAACATCCTAAGATTAATTTCCCATATGAACTTTTGAAAACTGCAATATCTATATATTTTTCGATGTCGGATAACACGTACCAATCAATTTTCTACAGAAAGATAGCTACAGAAAGGCATCAGCCCTACCTTCTCACCATTTTTGTTCTTGTTCTCAGGATTGGCACCACAGCGTCTGCAGCCAGTGCGACCGTACCGGGTGACAGAATTTAACGGCGGCAAAATTTTTAGGATTTAGGAAAGAGTCATGAGGCAGAATTGAAGAGTCGCTAAGTTTTGCACCCGACGGCAAAAAGTCTAGTGTCAGCCCTATTTGTTCTTGTATTTCTTTTATGGTGTTCTTATATAGAAAGTCAGTTTTGTCAGCAAAATGTTTTTAAAAATATATCATTCTGAATTGTTCTTCGTTTACTGAAATAACTAACCTAAGTGATACATACAGTGTCTCAAAAAAGTGACGGGACACTTGTGCTTTACAAAAGGAAACTGCCATAAAATAAATTAAAAAAAACATGTAAAATTTTTGTGGGTGTGTTTCATACTTAAATTTAGTAACAATTATTACATAACATGCATTTTCTCAAAATATTAAAATATTAATTTAATAAAAATACAATTGTTTAGAACGGAGCAGAAAATGGCTCACTTAAGTGATGGGACACTACGTACTATGCAATAAAAATCGTCTGAAGGAAGCAATAAAAATATCTTTTAGGATATTTATTTTTACTCAAAAGCAATTGCCAATAATTTATAAAATCGTCTGCAGTATTTCTCTCCAGTTTGTTTTGGAATTTTTTGTGTTTTCTAGCTCTGTCCAGCCATGAATGCTAAACGAAAAGAAACTTTGCCTGGAATTCAAAAATTAGTTATTAATTTGCATATTGAACGTCGAAAATCTATTAGAGAAACTACTGAAACAGTTAACTTCAGTCATACAACAGTTTTCAATATCATTAAACGATATAAAAAGAATCATATGATTCAGGATAAAAGAAGACCTGGCCGACCAATCAAAGCTATCCAATGGAATAAAGCGAATTATCGTTCGAAATATTTAAAAAAAATCCAGAATGAGTGCTCCTAAAAGTTGCTGCTGATTTACAAGCATTATATGGAGTAATTGTTAATTCTGAGACTATTAGAAGAGTAATTCGATCTACTGGATATCACGGTACAGCAGCCAGGAAAAAATTCTTCGTAAGTGAAAAGAATAGAAAACTCAGATTGGCTTTCGCAAAATCCAACATAAATAAGAATTCTGATTACTGGAATGAAGTTATATTTGCTGACGAGAGTAAATTTAATATATTTGGTTCTGACGGTAGAATCTTGGTGTGGAGAAAACCCTGGGAAGAATTTCGCAAGCAGAACTTGGTGCCAACATGGTGGAGGAGGAGTTATGGTATGGGGGTGTATGTCGTCCACTGGAGTTTGTAATCTTGTTTTAATTGACAGTATAATGGAACAGTACAAGTATATTGACATTTCAAATAAAAATTTGAAATCTTCAGCACGAAAATTTAACCTTCATAACGATTTTAAATTATACCAGGGCAATGACCCCAAGCACAGTGCTTTGAACGTTAGACTCTGGCTGCTGTATAACTGTCCTGAAATAATAAAAACACCCCCACAATCTCCACAATTAAATCCCATAGAGAATATTTGGCAAGAACTGGAATCAAGAATTCGCAAACACACCATTTCTTCAAAACAACAATTAAAATCGGTGCTTCAAGAAGAGTGGGGTAAAATCACTCCAGAAATCACAAAAAATGAGTCAAATCCATCCCAAGAAGAAGAAGATTAAATTCACATTTTAAAAGTAAAAGGAAATACAAAAAATATTAAAACCTTTTAAAAGTAAAATTTTTTGGATAAATATTTGATGGAAAAGTAAAGTGCCCCATCACTTACGTGAGTATCCAATCACTTAAGTGAGCCATTTTTCTGCTCCGTTCTAAACAATTGTATTTTCTTTAAATTAACATTTTAATATTTTGAGAAAATGTGTGGTATGTAATAATTGTTACTAAATTTAAGTATGAAACACACCCACAAAATATTTTACATGTTTTTTAAATTTATTTTATTGCAGTTTCCTTTTGTAAAGCACAAGTGTCCCATCACTTCTTTGAGACACTGTATGTTATGTTTAGAAACATTTTTCTATCATCAAAATTGAAATCGGAAACGAAAGTAATTTTTCATGCCGTAAGTTTGTTTTGCAATAGAAAAATAGTCTGCTTGGAAGTTTTTTTAACTGCAGGTTTATTTTTGAAAGTATCAGTTACCGTCTGCTACTTGACGGTTTTGTTTTCATGCAAAATGACGCTTTTAAGGAAGCAGTGGATGGAAGGCTACGTTTGTGATCTTCCGGAAAAAAAAAATATTCGTTTCTAGGTATTAAAAATCTGATGTGTACACCACATGACTTCCTTGTACAGAATATTAAATTATACGCATTTTTTCTTGCATTTCATTTAAACTTATTGGATCGAATTAAATCTATTTCGCCGACAACGCATAAACCACAATAGAATAAATGCATTCTTTAAAATTCACTCTAGTATTTGTTTACCATATAGCGACACTCTGGCGCTAGATTCTCTTAACAGTATTATATTTCGTTCGTATTATAAGTCATAATGCACAAAATTTATATCATTTAAAGAATAGAATTATCTAATCGTTGCCGCATGTTCTATTCAAATATTATAATAAAGCTAGAATGATGTATAAAAGAAATTAAGCAAACAAAACACAAAAAAAAAGAAACAGTTCTTCACAGACGATTGAGTATTTCTCATTCAATTAATTCAGTTCTCACTTCGCGACAAGGCAAAAATGCATAAAAACTCAAAATATCTGTACTAAAAATTACGAAGTAAATCTTAAACACTTATTTCCTCGAAAAATTTCCAGAGAGGATTAAGCACGATTTAATTGGCAATAATAAATGAAGGCGTTATCTTTGTTGTTGCGAAGGTACGTTTCTCTAGATTGGCAACAAATCCACTACTCTGCTGTTTCAGATGTAAACAAACAATGGCCGCCATCAAAAAAATTATTAGTCATAGCGGCGGCACTTAAACAACTTTAAAATTTTGATAATTCTAAAAATATTGCATGCAGATTTACTAAAGGCATAAAAATCTTAACCGGAAAATGAGAACAAAATAATTCAATCATTTTTAAAGCAAAAAATGTACAATTTACAAATATATAAGAGTAAAAAAACTGAGATCACTGAGCCGGGTAACAGAGTGGACATATATATATAAATATATTTACATACGTTTGGCCCGGCCGATTGCAACCAAAATACGAGGTGCACATCTACATGTTATAGTAGTTCTATATACAAAATTTCAACGTTCTGAGGCTACTTGTTTTTGAGTTATGCGAGATATGTACGTAGGTACATACGTTTGTACAGACGCCACGAAAAAGTCTCTTCAGAATTAATTTTAAAGCAGTTTTATAATTTTTTTGGAGGAAAAGAGTTTTTTATTCTGTCCTTACGTACAGATATCACGCAAAAACCTCGTTAAATGGCATTCGATAGAGGTCAAAATGGATATTTTCGTTGAAATTTGCTGCCTGAAACTTTTCGCGATTACAATACTTCCTTTTTACTTCGTACAAGGAAGTAAAAACGCTTTGAAAGGTATCATTTTTCGATATCATATCTAAAACTAGGGTAGATAAATATTTTCAAAAAGAAAGGAAGACGAAACTCAAAGTTTGGTTTCAAATGGGATATTTCAAATGTTGCAAAGGTAAAGTCTTTAAGGTTAAAAGAAAATCTCATAAGTCAAAAGATGGTTGAAAAATAATTAAAATGCTCAGCGAAAACTGTATAAGTAGTGATTAATGGTGATTTGAATCTTAAAAAGGCGAAAACATATAATGTGCATCGTCTTTCTCCACGACATATCCCAAACGCAGAACGCAGACCCAAACGCAGAACGCGCTTGCAGAATTCTTTACGATAAACCTTATAAAAAAGTATAAAAAGGGGAAAATGTTGTCACAATAAACGAATCTTGGATACATTTAAGTGACTGCAATAAAAGAGATCCATTTATTATCATCAAAAAGAAGAAAAATATCTCAAAACATGGTTCAAAGAATCTAAAGAAATTTTTCAAAGTTTTTATGACTGATGTTGGTTTTTCATATAAAGGAAAATTAGACTGGAGAAAAATGCCAAGATAAACTCCGCATATTATCAGGAAGATATTTTATACCCAATTTCCAAATAAGAAATATCTTCACTTTACCCACAATGCCATCAAGCAGTAGAACTGCATCAAAACAAAGCAAGCAGTCACACGTGAAAAGCCAATGTTAACTTCCTGGAAAAAGTGGAACAAGAAATAGGTATCAAAGTATACACTTCATTTATATCCCTACTCAATCTTCTGATGTATCCTATGGATTTTAGCGCTTTTGGGATTTTAAAAGCGGATTGTATAAACGTCGACCTACAACCATCCTTGGACTTTGCAAAGCTGTTCAAGAGGACTGGGAGAAAATACTTCTTATGTTACTACAAAAGGCTTAATTAATTGTCTTGCAAATTTCGATGTAGAAAGATAGAGAAGAATAAAGGTTATGAAATAGAACATTTAAAACACAAAAGATTTACTTAAAATATTTCTGCAAATACAATGAAAAACCGTCTAAAAATGTGCGAACAGCCTTTGTGTAACTTTCTAGAGAATACTGCTTTACTATTACAAGAAAACATCCCGCTAATTTAATTAAGTTGTGTAAGTTTAGCAAAAATTATTAAAGCAAACTGTACTTACGGACTGCGATCAATACTACAAGGCGTATAACCGTAGCCATTTTGGATCAAATTGTTATGAACTTCTGACCAAGTCTTTGTAAGTATTTAAACAATAGTGCACACACATTAACTTTACATACCAGCAGCTGCATATTTCAAGAACTGCAACTCATGGGAAATCATTCCCTTATTTTCTTGCTCCAAATGTAATTTTTTTGTCTTATACTCCAATTAATAGGTTTAAAGACAGCTGAACATATTAACCAACAAAGTAATGAGGTGAAGTACTAGAAATTTCTTTAAGCAAATAAAATTTGCTAATCATGGGTTATGATCGCAATTCTTTTCTTTGCTAATGAGGGTATGGTAAAAGTGTTTATGTGATTTTCATTTTAACGTGTTTTGATATTCTTTCCACCCACAAATGTCTTTCGTATCTAAAATAGATTTTTTTTTGTCGCAGTTGAAGTTAATAATATTAGTTGAAACTTTGGATAAAAATTTTGTTGGATTCAATAAACTTCTTGAGATAACGTTGTAGTATTTTTAATACACCAGCGCTCAGATCATTTAAATGCAAGTTCTGTATAACTAGGAAAGTCTTTTAAACGTAATACTGTATTTAGTCCAAAGGGGTTTTGTCTCTAAAGGACTATTATTTTCGTTTTGCGATTTTGTGTTGAATCACTATAAATGTCCGTTTCGCATTTCAAATTCTTGCCACCAAATGTTAGAGTCCTGCATTATAGTTGAAGAAATTAAATAATGAAAAATCTGCCTAAATGTATGTATATGTGATTAAAAAAAGGTACATAGAGCCTTCGAATTTTAAATGACGTAATCGAATTTTTGATTAACAAACTCAAGGATTTCAAAGCGAGCAATGACAAAGTTGTAAAAAAAAAAAAAAAAAAAAAAAAAAAAAAAAAAAAAAAACGTTTTTATCTCCAGCGCGCGAGACTTTGTATTCGGAAATTCTAAAGATATGCTCAATTTAAAACTATTTTGCGATATTGCTCTTGAACTGAATTTTATGGTTTAAGTGCGAAGAACGTGATATTTAATAAATAAAGGTAACAGACAAAGTGTTAAAAAAAAAAAAAAACCGCCCCTTTGGACGTAATTTAAAATCTAAAACCTTTCAGATTTTCTTCTTCTTTTTTTTTTTTTTTAATTTTTATTTTTATAATTCAGATGATTTTTTAGAACGTTGCCGCGAATATTGTACAGGTACGCAGAGAATTATACAAAATTTTCTGTACACATGGTCTCAATGCGATCCAGGCAGTTCTTTTTCACATTGAATAGCTGCCGATATTTTTATATTGACGCTTTCGCGTTGTAACGTCAGAACACCCGTGTTGGGTGCAAGAAAAGACAGGTTGTCTTTTAAAATATTTATTTTAAAAACTTAATTACAAATTCTTGATTAAATAGTAAAATAACTGAATCATTACAACCATAAATTAAACAAAAGACACTGGCGCGGCGAGGACGCCAAAATGCGTCCGCTTCCTCTCGTGTTTACAGCATCAAAACTGTCACACAAAGCTCTCTCTTCGTTTTGTTAAGAAACCTGGAAGAGAATAATTAGTCCCTTATTGCCAGAAACCACACGAGGGGGTTTCCGTTGCACATTCCTCCAAAGTTCTACTGTCCATTTTGTCTCTGAACAAAACAGGAAGTTCTCATTCTCATTCTAATCGTCACAGCGTATCATTGCTAGAAAGATAAGAGACGCTAGAAAGATAAAAAGAGAACTCTAAAAGAAATTAACTTAAATTAATCTTAAAGAAATTGGAAATGCTAGAAGGATAATATTAGATGCTAGAAAGATAAAGTAGAAATGGAAATGTTAGAAAGATAAAAAAGAACTCTAAAAAGAAATTTTTAGGACGTTAAAATAGTGCATCTTATATCAGTCGTATGCAAAAGAATTATGAACAAAGTAATTTTTTTGTAGCTCAAAGGAGCGTTAGCTCAGAAGGGTTATTAATTTCGTTTTGGTATTTCATTCACATTTTGCGTTGAGTCACTTTTTAAACTGTTGCCACCATTATTATCGCCCTGTGTTATATTTAAAGAAATTAAATAATAAAGAATCTGAATAAATGTATGTATGTTTCTCACATTATGATAAAACAACAGTACCTAGAGCCATAAAATTTTGAATAACGTAATCTTCCATCGAATATGGGCATCTGGAGACCCTAATTTAGAATTTTGTTTTATTATCGATTTCATATTTTGTAACACTTTAACGAATTTTGAAAAAACAAACTCAACGATTTCAAAGTGAGCAATGGCAACACTGTACGAGGGGAAAACATTATCTCCAGCTCTCGAGCCTGTGCATCGAAAATCCTAAAGATATGCTCATTTAAAAATTATTTTGCGATATTGGTGTTGAATTGAATTTTATGGTTTAAGTGAGAAGAACATGATATTTAATAAATAAAGGTACCACAAAAAACGTTAAAAAAAACGCCCCTTTGGGCGTAATGTAAAATGTGAAAGCTTTCAGATTAAAAAAAAAAATTAAGGTTTATTAGTGCTAATAAACTTTTCCTTTAATTAATTTATAAAACTATTCTATTAGCATATGCATTTTTTTAAAACTTTTTTTATCTCTTGCAGTTACTTTGCAAGGAATTATCGCATTCCTTCGTACACTGTGTTAGGTTGTAAATGGTTAATACATCCAACCAGTAAATGGAAGACCTGTGATTCGAAAGCTGACGAGAACATAATTGACCTTTTATGGTGCCTGCGTAAAAAAAACCTCCTCGACGGCACCCGAACTAAAACTTCAGCGGACAATAACTCGTTATATCCCATAGATTTGGTCGACTGGGTTTCGTGCCAGTCCCAGTCACCCTGTAAGTGAGGAAAAATATAAAATATTTTTGCCTCCCTTCAATTATGATATTATGGGGCAAATGGCTAACACATCCAGCTAGCTACTGGAAAATCCATGTTTGAATTCCGGTAAGAGTACAATTCCCATTTTTGGTATTTCAACTTCCTCCCCCTTCTTTCCTTTCCTTTTTTAATTTTATTTTATTTTTTAAGCCTATTGGACTCTCCAGTTATATGCAAACTAAGATGTGGTGGACGATAATTAATCATCCATGGATAGTCTCGACTGGGTCTCGTGCCTCCTGCTAATTCCTTTTATTTGGGAAAAGTATGAGAACTGATCGCATTTCCTACCCTCCCCGTCTTGATGTAAGTGGTTGTGATGGAGGTACTCGTCTTTTCTTTCTCCATGGTGGTTATCGTCGAGCTTGCAAGTGGGAGATCTATGGTTAGGATGATGGAGAGACCATATTTGCTTTTCTATATTTCCTTTCTCTCCCCCCTTTTTTTTAAGATAGCTGATAATCTCTGCTGTAAGTTTTTCAAATAGTCATAAAACTTAAAAAGCTTCTATTGTTTTTATTAGGAGAAAAATCCACTTGTGCATGGAACCTTGAAATTAAAACCGATCTTGTTCATGCGATCAACTGTAAATACAGAGGCTGTTCGCACATTTTTTAGACGATTTTGGTAAGCGGTAATAAAAAATCGTTTGCTGCAAAAGAAGTAGTTGCAATTGTACTATGTTTTTAAAAGTCAAAATTATCGCCTGTGGCTTGAAAGCTTTGTTTTTATTTAAAATGGCGAATTTAACAAGGCAGTGGTTCGAAGGCTACATTTACGCTCTTTCCGTAGAGAAATATGCATACTCCATTATCCAAAAACGATGTGAGAGTCATGGTTTTGTGATATCTAAAGCGTCGATAGGTTATATCATCAACAAGAAAGGAAAGAAACGTCAAATTGTAGCCTCAAGTGGGACAAAAATTCCAAACAAGTATCCAAGGAAAAAACGGACATCTTCAACTATTGCATCGGTGTCCACTGTAAACAAAATGATAAACGTAGATTTAAATCTTAAGAAGGCGAAAAAACGCAATGTGCATCGTCTTCTTCCAAAGCATATCACTCAACGCAGGACACGCTGAAGAATTCTATATGAGAAACGCTTATCCAAAGAAAAATGCAAAACAATTGTCACAAGAGATGAAGCATGGATGTATTTAAACGACTGTAACCAAAAAAAGAGCCGTTTATTATCATAAAAGGGGAGAAAAAAATTTAAGTACATGGTTCAAAGAATCGAAAGAAAGTTTTTCTAAGGGATTTATGATTGTTGCTGGTTTTTCTTATAATGGCAAGTAAAAAATAGAAAGAGTGCAAAAAATGTCAAAATTAACTCCAAATACTATTAGGAAAATATTTTATCGCCAATTTTTTCTGAATGAAATACCATCGCTTTACCCACAGTGCCATCCATCTGTGAGACTCCATCAGGACAAAGCTAGCAGTCACACATCAAAATCCACTGTAAATTTCCTAAAAGAAATGGAACAAAAAACTGGTATCAAGGCCCTACCCTTCACTGATATCCCTACTAAATCTCCCGATGTGTCAACTATGGATTTTTGTGCTTTCGGACTTTTAAAAACTGCATTATCCAAACGTTGTCCCCAAACCCTAACAGGACTCTGAAAAGCTGTTCGGGAGGAATGGGATAGAATATCTCTTCTGCCACTTCAAAAGGCATTATTATCCTGGAAATTGCGGTGTCGAAAGATAGCTCAGAATAAGGGATGTCAAATAGAACATTTAAAAACAAGAATTTTATGTAATTTAGTTTTGTGAATACAATATACATCGTCTAAAAAATGTGTGAACAGCCTTTGTATATCAGCAGTTTTAGGTCTTTAATTTGATGACTTGATACTAGAAAGCACTTGATACCCCATACTAGAAAAATATAATGAGTAATTTTTAGATAAAAATCTTGTCGAACAGCTACTTCTGATGTCCGAAACGTTAATGATGTAATGTTTTCCTGTATTATATATTTTGTAGTACGTATGTTTGATAAAGGGCAGTCTAGTTTTGTTTGACGATATATTGTAACACATGTTAATGTAAATATAGTGCATATGTATGTTTTCTAGTTGTTGTTGTAATATGTAAGTTTTCCAGCTTAGCCTATATTTTAATATTTTATGTACTTTTATATCCAGTATTGTAAGTGTTTAGTAATACTTGTATACCAAAATGTATTCTAGTCTTATATTCTACTATGTTTCTAGCAT